TTGCTGTACGTGGGACTCGGCCTCGCGTTGGACGGAGAAGTGGTGCCTCGGGGCGCACCCGGGATCCGAACCCGGGCCGCCAGCATCAGAGCGCGCGCACCCAACCGCCAAGCCACGGAGCCGGCCCAGCTGTGGTTTTTTAAAGCATGCGGCCACAAGTCAAAATGACACCACTGAGTTCTACTGCAAAGTCAGATGAGGGAAATAATATAGACATTGTGATGAAAAAATACAGGATGATAAATCTTATGTGACATCATTAGACAGTCTGCTCTGATGCTCTTACCATCTTAAGAGGTGGCTTAGCAATGAAGGCAATGTCATTTTATTATTAGGAAAACATACCTTATTAAGAAGAAAATTATATCATAGGAGTTTCTCTTTCTTCAGAATCATACACCTTGGCATCATTCCTTAAGAATGATTCCACATGCAAAAAATGGACTTTGTCAGAGACTGGCCAGTGTTAGGGCCTCAATTCCAGCCCTATGGGCTAACAGCACCCTGTCCCCCAACCTGGGACCCACTCAGAAGCGCAGAAGCCTTTGATGCTCCCTCACTGGGGGAGTCTTTTTAGTGTCCTCACCATTCACCCGTCCACTCTCACACTCTAGGCAAAATGTCTTGTCCACTCTTGGATTTAACACTGAAATTACCAACCTCTATTTCTGTCCGACATTCATCCCAACATTGTGACAGCTCCAAGAGGTAACTTCTAGTCTTTGCTTTGAGAGAAGAGTTCTCAAAAACACTTGCCTTTACCCATCTTGAACAGACCTCCTCTTGAGTGCCATCATCATCACCCAGAAGGACTGGGAGACTTTTTTTGGTATCATATGCTTTCCACCTCTTAGGGGGAAATGCGACTCTCTCCCCAGGGATGACCAGTAGAAATGGACAAAGAAAAATCGCCTTACTGTTCATAGGAGATCCATAGGAATGCATGAAAGCTTAAAATCATAGGAGACTCCACATAAAATCCAGATTCCTGGGCTAAAACATGAATCCTGGTCAGCTTTCACCATTTCCATAAGAGATAAACTACAAAAATGATATTAATAATGAACCGCAGAATAAAACGTGCATCACAGTTACAGGTAAAACTAAAATAGTTGTTTTTCCTTAAAAGAGCATCCAGTGCATTATGTTCATTTTCACAATGATGTAAGAATGCCCTTCTGTCAATAGGCTGTCTACAATTTTGTGACCTGGTAGAAATGACTCCCCTTTTCCCTTTGAATCTCAAATACAAAACTAGAGGTGGCTCCTGGGCCCTCTCCCAGAACACACTGCTTGCCACCTGCAGCAGGAAAAGCCAAGGCTGGGGCTCTTATGGTCCTCAAGACAGTGGAGGTGCCCTGGGCTGTCCTGGCACCCAGATGTTCCCATGCCCCGGGGCACTGATGGGCAGGTGCAAGGCCTATGGCCAAAGAGTCCCAAGATTTCTTTGTGGCTCCATCCAAACCATCACCAGAAACCTGTGCTCTTTGCCTCCAGCTGCTTCCAGGGACATCAGAAAATTCTGGAAGCCAAAGATCTACTGGAAAGCACTGACTCAATGCTCAACTCTCATGGGCAGCTCATGGATGTGTCCAGACCCTGTATTAACTCTCTAAGATGCCACCAGACAGACCCTCCAGTCTGTGACCTTCCTGCTGGGAGTAAATCCAACCTTCCCAGAGCATTTGGGGACATTGGGAAGACCCTGGTGCCCAGCTGGTGTCTGTGTCAAAAGTGGAAATATTCCCTGGGTTTGGGGATTCCTGGGTCTCTGTGTGGTGCTGACAGACCCCAAAGGTCAATGCTGGAGTGAGTGGGTTATGCTCTTAGGGGACAGGTGTCCCCATCAGCCTTGCTATTGCAAGTGGGCTCCACAGGCCAGTGTAATCAGCATCACCTGAGAGCTTGTTAGATGCAGACTCTGGTATCCACTCCACACCTGCTGGGTTAGAATCTGCATTTTAATAGGATCTGCAGACCCTCCCTGTGCACAGGAGAGGGGAAGAGGCTGCCACACCCCTCATATCTTGGGATCTCAGCCTGGCAGGGCATCCATGTTACCAGGGCAGCTGCTAAAGCAGCATTTCTAAGGTGTCACCTGGACATTCACAATCTTCATAAAGTACCCCAGGTGCCTACAATGCACAGCAGGGGTGACATCCTTGTGACAAGAGTTCCTGATGTAGCTCCCGGGCTCCTGCACTGAAGAAAAATGCCAGATGAGGATGAGAGAGGACAGTGGGGGAGGCTGACTGTGCACACCAACCAGGAGCTGTGGGGACTGCCCAGGATACAAATGCCCTAGGCTGGTGCTTGTCCAAACAAGGAGGTGTGTGTGTGCAGGGATGAGTATCAATGCTGGAGAAGGCAGAGACCTCAGCAGTTCCCAGGGAACAGAAATAGAGATAGAAAGGAAAGACAAAGAACAGTAAGGGAGGCAGGAATGAGAGAAGGGAGAGGGCGGGACCTGGGCAGAGACCCCACCCCCAGCCCACGTGACCCAGCAAAGCTCTCTTGCCCCGGAAGTGGCTCAGCACAGAGGAAGGAAGGACAGCGGATCTGAGGCATCAGGAGCCACAGCCCTTGTGAGCATTTCCAGAGCACATGCTCTTCTCACAGAGGGAGGGACAGAGCAGGCACCGGACACCATGGAACCCCCATCAGCTCCTATGTGCAAAGAGGGCATCCCCTGGCAGGTGCTCCTGCTGCCAGGTGAGAGGGGACGATTCCCTGAGGGTGGGTGGGAGATGGAAGACAAAGATTGACTGGGGTCTCCTAGGGAGGACAGGGCTTGAGAGGGGACAGAGAGCTTCTGTTTGGACCTGAAGGGAGAGGAGACCAGAGCAGAGTAGGATGGAGGGAGGGACTCAGCAACAAGAAAATCTTAGTGAACTGGAATTGGTGAGGGGCAGGAAAACTTCAACTTCTGTATGTTTTATGAGTTAATCATCTCTGAACAATAAATTTTGGAAACTGATGTCGATAATCACAATCGCTGACAGGGGAGAAAAAAACTTAACCAGGGGAACTAAACATTGTCATCGCTCAGTACCTCTAGAAATTGGCAAATAAACACCAGGACATGGAGGGCCCTGGGAACACTCATTTACTCATCCACAGGTGTTTGAGACCTGTTCCAGGCAGTGGAGGTACAAGAAGATCACACAAGTCCCTGCCCTCAGGAGCTCACATTCCATGGGGAGGAGGACAGACAAGCAAAGAGATCTGAATGTGATGTCAGGGACTGACAAGTGCCATGAAGGGAACAGAGCAGGGAAAGGTCAGACAGTGAAGACAGAGGGTCTTTAGAGGGGAGGTCAGGGAAGACATCTCCCAAGGACGCCCCTGAGAGTGAGCAGGGCTCTGAGGGCAGTGAGGGAGTGAGCCGGGCAGACACCTGAGAAGAGTGTTGGGAACAGAGGAAATAACAAGCTCAGAGGGGCTGAAGTAATAGCGGTCATGCTGCTGACCTTGACCAGTAGGCACACACACACACTCACACACACACACCAAGTCTAAGAGATGAAGAGACCTGCTCAGGACCCAGGGCCTCATCTTTCCATCCCAATACATAGCTTGTCAAAATAAATTATCAATAACCAATCTATAGATTAGAGAAATATTTAAGGAGATAGTGTGAGGACCAACCCGAAGGTGTTCTCTTCCCCAGGGAAGAAAGCACTCCAGGGAAGTGTGGGGCAGAGCGTGGTTATACACCACTTCAGAACAAAGAACATATTTCAAGTATGACAGGAATACAATGTTTTTAAAGTCACAAGGAGATGCTCAGCACGTACGCAGCAGGTCAACTTGTCCTTGGTGCTCTTGGAAGAAAGCTTATGGTCCAGAAGTACTGGGGCTGGAGTCAGGAAAGGGGACACTCACCCTGTCTTTAAAGATGCATTCTTTGCTTTGGGGAATGTTTGAAGCAGAGGTACAGTGCGCGGGCAGAGGGCCACAGTCAGGCTGCTCTGGGAAAAACAAGTTTTACTCTGAACCAGATTTAACCCAGAATGGCTTCCCCATAGACCTCAGTCGGTGAAAACTTCTCATTATTCTTATTATTTTCAACGAGGTCCAAATATTGATTGATCTCTCTCTCTTCCCTCCTAGTCTCGCTCTTAACCATCTGGAACCTGCCCACCACTGCCCGACTCACTGTCAAATCAGTGCCGCCCAATGCTGTTGTGGGGCAGGATGTTCTACTCCTTGTCTCCGACCTGCCTCAGGATCTTTATAGCTATATCTGGTACAAAGGGGACAGAGTATGCCACAAAGATATAATTCTATCATATGTAATAGAAACATCAGAAAATACCTCTAAATACAATGGTCGAGAGAAACTATACCCCAATGGATCCCTACTGCTCCAGAACATCACCCAGGAGGACACAGGATCCTATACCATAGAAGCCCGTAAGAGAAATCAGCAAAGTGACATAGGAACTGTACACCTCCGTGTATACCGTGAGTGATTCCTCTCTGACCTCTGGGTGTTGGGTGGGGTGAATTCTACTTCACACACACAGGACTGACCGGCCTGGACTGTGCCTACATCCCCTTCTGCACAATATCTCATATTGGGGTTTGGGCATTTAGTGCAGGACACACACATTGGCTATAAACTTCAAAAGATCAGAATTCCCTTCCCCTAATGTGCCCTGTGTAGATATTCCCTGCAGAGAGAAGGATCAGTCTAGACTGACGGGAGTAACTCAGCAGAGGGAGATTGATCAGTCTCAGTCCAGCCCCCTGGGCTCCTCCCCAGGACCATGGCCCTGAGGAAGACCCTGCAGGGCTTAGTTAGGGCCTGGCCTGAGGGGCCATTGGGGGTCCTCAAAGAGGAGCTCAGCTTGGGAAGCCCCTGCGCAGACTCCTGTCCCAGGGGTCCTGACTCCAGTGACCCTGGGGAGCCTGTGTCAGGGTTGGGTTTTGGCCTCCTGGGCAGGTTTGACTTGGAACTTAGGGTTGCCTGAGTACCAAGGTTCCTGAGCTGGTCACCATCCAGGCCTCAGTCCCACGAACCACGTCTGGGCAAGGGTGGATCCTGATCCTTCACCTGAGACTCAACATGGATAGCACAGATGGACAAGGTCTCCAAGCCATTAGCCGACTACCCTGGAGGACTTAGGATCTCCAAAGGAAGGTCACTGTCCCCAGGGGAGAAACAGGAGAAAAGATGTTCCTCACAGCACCTCACCCACCAAGCATCAGGCCAAGGGAGCCCTCTCTCATGGTTGAAATAATAACAGATACTGTTTTTTGGGCAGCTCCTCTATACCAAGATTTAGGTCAGGTATTTGGAGATTTTCTAAGGTTAACTCAGCGTGGGAAGCCTGAGATCATTTACCATTTCTCCTATTTTATTTAGGGGAAACTGAGGCACAAGTACTGTACCAGGGTCCCACAGACCATTGGCAGCAGATCAGAGTCACACAAGGTTGTCTGCAGTCACAGCCTCATCCTCTCCTCTACCCGGGGGCCTTAATAAGAGGCGTCTATGGACCTAGAGAGCAGCTGTTGGGAGAGATCCTTTCTTCTCAGGTGTCCCTGGCTCAGAGGAAGAGATTGTGTCCTGGGGAGTGAAAGCAAATGGAGAATTAATCTGTGTTTACTCTAGAACTAAATTACCTGTATCAGCAATCAGAGACGATGCCAGGAATTTTGTGGCCACCCCCTCAGGTGGCCGATCCACACCTCCCTGCACTGGGCTTGAAATCACTTATTTGTTTCCTGATGTGTTGGTGTCACTTCCACTGGAGTATAAAGGAAGGACTTTGCCACCTCACTCCCCACCCTACACCTGCAACCAACACATATTGACACTTGGGAAAGTCTGTGCTTTCTCCCAGACACAGAGCAGGTGGCCTTACATTCTCTGAGCGCTCGGATCCTCACGCCTTTGTCTTGAGATACACAAACCTGCCTTATTCTTTTAAGGACTCAGTTTGGCTGAGAGGTGAGAGATGCCAAGTCTGATTGAAGATTCCTGAGAGGAATCAAGGTACCACACAGGGCAATGTTCTCTCTGTTCCCTGCACAGTGCAGTTACCCACACCTGTCATCACAACCAGCAACTCCAACCCCTTGGAGCACGAGGACCCGTAGTGTTAATGTGAACCTGAGACTCAGAATGCCACCTACATGTGGTCCATAAACAGTCAGAGCCTGGAAGTAATAGCTCATATTTTTGAAAAAATTTTTATTTTCAAAATTTTTTGAATAATCACCATACCATTTTCCACAGTAGCTGTACTATTCTTCCTTCCCACCAACAATGCAAAAGAGTTCCAATTTTTCCATATCCTCTCCAGCACCTGTTATTTTCTGTTTTTTTGATAGTAGCCTTCTAATAGATATGAGGGGGTACATCTTTGTAGCATTGATTTGAATGTCTATTCAAGTGATTTTCCAATCAGGTTATTTGGTTTTGTTGTTGTTATTGAGTTTAGGAGTTCTTTGTGTATTCTGGATACTAACCCCTTATTGATATATAATTTGCAAATTATTTTCTCCCATTCTATAGGTCACCTTTGACTCTGTTGATTGTGTCCTTTGATGAACTGAAGTTTTTTATTTTGACAAAGTCCAATTTATCTATTTTTTTCTTTATTTTTGCCTGTGTTCTTAGTGTCATATTCAAGAAATCATTGTCAAATCCCATGTCATGAAGCTTTCACCCTATACTTTCTTCTAAGAGTTTAATAGTTTTAGGTCTTACTTTAGGATATGACCCATTTTGACTTAATTTTTGTATATGGTGTAAGGCAATGTCCAACTTCGTTTTTCAGCATGTGGATATCCAGTTTTCCAATGCCATTTGTTGAAAAGACTATCCTTTCTCTATTGAATGGTATTGGCTCCCTTGTTGAAATCATCTGATCATATAATTGAGGTTTATTTCTGGATTTCTACTGTATTCCATGATCTTTATGTCTGTGTTTTTGCCAGCACCATGCTATTTTAATTCTTTAGCTCTGTGATAAGTTTTGAAATTAGGAAGTGTGAGTCCTCCAATTTTTTCTCCTTTTTTAAGTTTGTTTTAACCATTCAGGGTCCCTTTAGATTCCATATGAATTTTAGGTTGGGTTTTTCTATTTCTGAGAAAGAAGTGATAGGGATTTTGTCCAATATGCAGATAGTTGTAATATATTTGCATCTTAATAATACTAATTCTTCCCATCCATGAGCATGGATGTCCTTCCATTATTTGTGTCTTCTTTAATTTCTTTCAGAACATGTGGTAGTTTTCAGTGTACGCATCTTTCACCTCCTTGGTTAAGTTTATTCCTAAGTATTTTATTCTTTTTAATGCTACTGTAAATGGAATTGTTTTCAATTTTGGGGGGATTGTTCATTGTTATTGTATATAAATGTAACTGATATTTTGTGTGGGGGTGGAATTTTTAGGGTTTTCGACATATAATATTATGTCTTCTGCCAAAAGAGCTAATTTTTCTTCTTCCTTTCCAATTTGGATGCCTTTTATTTGTTCTTCTTGCCTAATTGTTCTGGCCAGGACTCCTATACTGTGTTGAATAGAAGTGGTGAAAGCAGTATCCTTGTCTTGTTCATGATATTAAAGGAAAATTTTCATGTTTCACCATTGAGCATTATGTTAACTGTGATCTTTTCGTTTATGACCCTTGTCATATTGGGTAGTTTCCTTCTGTTCCTAACAGTGCCTGTTGTTTTGTTAAAACTGTAACCATTTCTATCTAGAGATTTCCTTCATCACGATATTCAAACCATAGACCTGGAAGTCAAAGTCCTTTTCAGAGGGAGAAATCCTTTAGAATGGAAACTCTTTAATTTCTAAGGTTACAGAGACTGGGTGGGGATGTCCTCATTCCCTAATAAAAAATATTTAATAAGAAGTAAATTTCTTCTCACTTTGTATGAAGCTCCCTTGGCTCCAGGGACAGGGCTAGCAAGTCTGCCTTCCCCAATACATACAGAAGTTTATATAGGGAATTGGACCTGGTCTTTTTTTTTATTATTGATGTTTTAATAGTTTATAACATTGTGAAATTTTGGGTTGTACATTTTCGTTTGTCCATCACCATGTGTATGTCTCCCTTCACCCCTGTGCCCACCCTGTACCCCCATTGCCCCTGGTAACCACAGTCCAGTTTTCTCTGTCCATGTGTTGGTTTATATTCCACATATGAGTGAGATCATACAGTGTTTGTCTTTCTCTTTCTGGCTTATTTCGCTTAACATAATA